CACACTATGATTCCCACAATCCAATTCCGTATCATTGCTTTCACACAGGACAGCAACCGTAAGCAAGACTGTAAGACGCAATAAGAAGGGCAGCGCAAAAAGGGCTTTTGCTTGTCACAGTATACGAGTCCATTAATAGAATGTTATTGAACATAACACTTTCGCCACACCGATAGGGCGGGAGAAGTGAGTGCCAAACATCTCACTTCTGTCCTGGCATTTCCTGAAATACAGCTACGTTCTACCTATGTTATAGCTCTGATACAATGCAAAATACATTTTTATCCGATTACTCGCTTCAATATTATTCTATAGATTCACCTATAGAATACTTGAATTGAAAAATATTGCATAGTTGTAGGCCGAGTGGGATTCATACTGAACTTTAGACTTGTGAAAAATGGCCCAATAATTCATCGAATGCTTTAATGGTTTATTCCGTGTACCGTACTGTAATTCATCATTGCCACAAGTGAACATAATTTAGTTAAGATTTGATTCCAATCAAATGTATTTGGATTGTACACCGTCATTTAGAGAAATTTGACTTCTGTCTTTTTCCTCACTGTTGTTGTTTGTATCCATAACACTCGGTTGATGGGGGTTTGTGATGTCTGTGCTGAGTCAAGCAGAAGCAGAGATACACTGATTGATAACGCAAGAAAGTCTGCTGGTCCAGCAAAGGTCTCAAATGGCTCTTGTGTTCCATAGAATTCAACATGAATGGAGTTGGACGCTCTTCTTCTCGTGTGTTTATTACACATGAGGGTGAGGCACTTCCATTATTTGTTACTAGGGGTGGGATATCATCGCACACTTTGTTTATTTTCTAATCGTGTGTGTGTGTGTGTGTGTGTGTGTGTGTGTGTGTGTGTGTGTGTGTGTGTGTGTGTGTGTGTGTGTGTGTTTTTTTTTTTTGTTGTTTTAGAAAGAGCGCGAGAGGGAGAGAGAGAGAGAGAGAGAGAGAGCTATAGGGGAAACAGTAGGGATGGGAGACCTTTGGAGCGGAGGGCCTGGAGCAGTCGTTGTCCCACCACCTGCCACCCACTGTGTTGTTAGTGTGGGTTGGGGAACAAGCAAGGGTGGTGCTGTCGGTGGCGGGGGAGTAGATCAGATGCTTATCCTGATCCCAAATGTGCGCCAGAAAGAGATTTACAATAATCTGAGCCTCTTTCGACAAAACGTAGCTCGCACAACAAAACCCAATGGCATGTTTGCACGGTTCTGTTTGACGCATTAAATTCATGAATCTGAATCCAAACACGAGAGGTGATTGCCTACCTACTGGCTAAAAAGCATGTTTTATCTGAAATAATTCTTGATGCTATTTTTGTCGTAGCTACTTTTGTCTATTGATGCACAAATGTTGTAACAGTCAAGGTTTAATCCTGTTTTGCTTCATGTGGCTTCCCGAATGTAACCCTCTATCTGAATTCCCACCCCGAAATGCAACAACACACAAACAATGCCTTGTTTCCCCCCTATAATCCTCTCTGCTGCACAGCTGACTAGATCTGTTTTTGCTAGTCTAGATGACATTGTGTAATAATACACCGACCAGCTAGCCTAGTTCCACTTGTTTAAAAAAAAAAAAAAAGAGAGAGAATCAAAACAAAGGTTATATCCCAAATTCTTGATTAAAAATTGATGAACGCTTTTAAAAGAGGTGTTCATTTAACAATTAGTTTCATCACGAGTACAGTAATCCCTCGTGATAAAACGGGACATCTTTCATGGATTGGCTGTTTCACGGATTTTTTTTTTTTTTGACAGTACATTTTGTTCTGCATCCTGATTGGCTCTGGGACTGTAGACACCGTGCCTCATCGCTGTATAGCTTGCCAAATTTTCTTCATGGTAAAACTCATAATGTCGATGAAATGCTCTCTTCGGTATTTCTAAAAACTGTCAGTTGTTTGTAAGAATACGTTTATATTTTAGTTTGTTTTAAATGCTTGGGCCTGAAAAAAAGGTTTAATATTTGGTTTATATTCAATACAGTATTGTTAGAAAGCCCACATTGTTTTACTACTAGTAGTTGTCGGTGTTGTTACATTTTCCGTATATTGTATATTGTTAAGATGTCCTACACTGTGAGCGGGCATTGAACGCACCTCGAGTCTCCTGCTGAGTGCTTTATCCATCATAGAATAACAAACACCACCAAACAGCACTGTGTTGAACTATCAGTTTCATAAAATTTGTTGGAACATGCCAAACGGAAATGGGTCAGTGAAGCGTAGCTACTGTTGAGTGACATTTTAGCATTTTGTGTTTATTTCGGTCCTTGAAAGTAGGCCTATGTCTTCACATGAAAAGGCTTTTATTATAATTTTTTTTATTGATTAACTCTTTGAACCATTAATATTAATTTGTTCAGTGCAATTACATAATTTTAGTGAAGTTAGTATAGTCATAGCAATTAATGCAATTCTACGACTAATATATGTTTTCACTAGTTTGGCAGCCCTGTAATAGTGAATTATGACTGATCAGACTGTTGTCTGATTGTGGTTGGGGGTTAAAGTTTTTTTTTTTGTTTGTTTTGTTTTTTTTTGGTGAAAAAAAATTATATCATGATAAAGTCAGGCAAGACCATCTTCCTGGGGCTATAGAAAAGAATGGTCATCAAACAGAGCACAGTCTGTGTTCAGTGAATATCCAGTAATACACATTTAAAAGACAAGCGCAGTGAAGTCATTTTTGAACAGTCATGGTGTAAGGTGTTTTTGCAACGTGGCTGTTGTTACTCCATGCAAGATTATTCAAGTGTAGCCACGCTTCCTCGAATTTTAACTCTAACTTTTCTTTTTATGTAATTTATCAACAGTGTCTCGCAAGATAGCGTAAGTGTGAATATAGGCCATCAACACTGTTTACTTGATTACTCTTCCAAGCAAGCGTGAATTATAAATAATGCAGTGCCCCCTCTTTTGTGCACATGCAACCCCCTGTCTGAATTAGGAAACACTCACTTCAAACCCTTTTCCCCTCAATAAACTCCCTCCCTGATCACTTTTTAATTTGATCCTGCTCCCCCCGCAAGCCCTTTTTCTCTATTCCTTCTATTCCGTGTTCCCCTCCCCCTCATCCCATTTATTTCCTCACTCTCCCTTTCACTCTTCCCTCCCACCTCTTGTCCTTGTTTTAAGGATTCCTCAGTATTCGCGACATCTGCAAAAGCCGATAAGAGACACAGACAGACAACAGTATGGTAATCTCGTTGAGGCCGGGCAGCGACCCCGGAAATGTACCGCTAGAAGGTTCTGTTGCTGAGTGCAATGTGACGTACAGTTATACCCTTGCTGTGCTGTCCTCGTGTGACTCCCAATGCTTTCACTGTGGATGATATCACGTTTGTGTCTCGCCGGCCAAGTCTACACATGTATTTAATAAAACAACAACAAAGAAAAAGTCCACTCTTCACACTCTCTGTCAACATGAATACACTTTTGCCGGCTATCGGCATATTTTGGCCAATCAGAAGCCCGATTGGTCACATATTCTGCCACCTTCATTCCTTTGGATACAATGTTGAAAGCCATATTGAATGAATATATTTTTCAATATTAATAAGTGGCGGCCTGGTGGTGGACTGGTTAGCGTGTCGGCCTCACAGTGCAGAGGTGCAGGGTTCGTGTGTGGAGTTTGCATGTTCTCCCCGTGCCTGCGTGGGTTTTCTCTCGGTACTCCGGTTTCGTCCCACATTTCCAAAAACACGCATGGCAGGCTGATTGAACACTCTAAATTGTCCCTTGGTGTGAGTGTGAGCGCGGATGTTTGTTTGTCTGTATGTGCCCTGGGATTGGCTGTCAACCAATTCAGGGTGTCCCCCCGCCTATTGCCCGAAGAAAACTGGGATAAGCTCCAGAACGCCCACGACCCTCTTGAGGATAAAGTGGCTTGGATAATGGCTAGATGGCTGGATGGATATTAATAAGTTCTATGTGTCTGTCATTGCGTGAAATGAAATCAATGTGTCATTACACAGAAATCCTAAAATTGTTTAACGATATGAGATATTGGCAGCTCAAAAAACAGGTAAGCCATGATTGGTCGTTACCTGAGTCCTTAGGCATTTTGATGTCAGTGGTAAAATGTCTTCTGAGATGGATAAAAACGTGGATTTTGCCACCTACCTCATGTTCCACAAACGGTATTAATCCGAATCCCATTTTTAGACAAACAGGGCCACATAGAACATGTTATTGGAATATGCGGTAGATTGTAATTTGTGTTTGACTTGACTTCCCCTTTTAAATTAAATGACTTACAGATTATTTCATCTTGTAAAAAACATGCATGCAAGTGCATGTTTGCATATCTGGCGAAGACTGTAACTTCCACTAACAACCCAAGCTAAACTTAACTCCACCCCAACATACAAAGCTTGTCTCTGAGTTGAGATGTATCACTTCATCATAGTTACTTGACACCGAGGTCTTACAGAGTGCTTTTTATTACACTTGTCTTTGATGCCATTTTGAGGCATTTTAGAAAGGGCACAATAATATGTAATTATTGTAAAAAATAAACATAACCCCCACGATAAATGAGGGATGACTCTATACTATGGCATTAAATTCGGCGTTGGGCACTTGGACCTGCAGTTTGAATCTAGCCTGACATTTCGGTGACTACCACTGTTGACATTTAATATTTTTCAGAAAGCGACGCTTGCTTTCAATACAGCACACCACTTGCTACTGCTCCAGCTTTGTCTCTATCTTCTGAAGGCTAAAAATTGCCTTGTCAGTGCCTTTTTTACACAACAGCAACACGGGAAAAAGGTTGAAAAAGCCACTTTGCTACCGGCAGTCTCTCATCCTCCGTGTAACATCCTTCCTAGTAGCTTAAAATTCCTCGTTCTCATCTAATTTCATTTTTCCCCATCTCATCTGCTCTACCTTGTTCTGAATCACCAAGCAGAAGGAGGACGAGCCATCCCACAAGCCACGCCCCCCCCGAGCTCTGACTCGCCTCTCCTGTGTGACAGTGGGAAAGGCTGGGCTCTCCCTAGCATTATCTAAACACACACATAAGCGTGCAGCCACGAAGCAAACGCCTCTGCCCACTCAGACGCTCCTAAAGCTGTTTTTCTGCTGGAGATCAGCGAGAGCGAACAGCTGCTGAGGACAGACGAGAAGAACAGAGAGGAGGAGGAGGAGGAGAAAGAAAAAAAAATCCTCTTGAACTTCTGTCAGCCCAGTTCAGTCAGTCTTCAGGGAGAGAGCCTTCTCTTGGAGTGGGGTTTTTTTCCCCTATGTGACACAAGGTGGAGAAAAGAAGAAGAGGGAACTGGAGTTCACGCAAGTGAATGGGTTGCCATGGATACTCACCCAGGGAGCCTGACTCGTGCAGAATGAATGGAGGCAGAGCCAAGTGAAAAGATAAACTAGGCAAAGGGAGTCACCGGAGAAAGAGCGAGTGACTGAGAGAAGAGAGGAGAAGCGGTGGATAGCAGAGGAAGTGGAGCAGCGGCTAAGAATGGAGGACGGCTTTTCCAGCTACAGCAGCTTGTATGACACCACGTCGCTGCTGCAGTTCTGCAATGGTAAACAATTCTCCCACTTTCTGCATGATGTTCCTCCGGGCTTGACACGTCATAGCAGGGGTTAGCTTGATTGACCTCTGCCGAGAAAAAAAAACATTTGGAAGTTTCTCCAAGGCCACATTCATGTCAAGTCCGAGCCTAGCAGTAAGCAGTCATCAACAAAGTGCGTGTGGGACAGCAGTGATGTGTCCACTGGGTGGAGGCTGTGGGGTGGTAGCCGGTGACTCAGGAGAGAGGGTAAGCAGCATGACGCATCAATATGACATAAGTTTGAAAAAGATTTACTCCCGAGCAAATTGCAAGTTCTGAAAAGTTGAGCCTCATCTATGGCTGACTGCTTGAGAATATTGGGCCGACAGAAGCGGTCAAGGATGTATTGGAGTGCTGGTGCAACACATGCACAAAGGGGATTATCCTTAACAAACTGAGGGACTTTTGAAGCAGACGGACTTAAATCTGCTGTTGTGTTGATGACTCATTCTCTTTCTCTTTCTCTCTCTCTCTGTCATATCCTCATCCTTTTCATGTGGAACCCTTCCCTTGCTCGACTCACCCAATGTGGATAATTTTATGTTTGCTGATTCGTTGTCCTTGCTACAGAATGTTGGTGTCCCCTCCTACGACGATAAATTATCTTTATGGATGGACTGTTGCTGTGGCGATAGTATACGACGTTGCCACGAGTATGACAACTGACATTGCTGGATAATAAAAACATCAACAGTGTCGACTTTGTACATGGTATTAAGCACAACCATTGAGGGGGTGAGGGCTTTAATCCTGTCTAAGGGCGCAAGTCATGAACGAGTGTTTACCTTAAATCCAGTTATTACTAGTACTAGCCAGTATTGGTGGCCAGCCAGGGCCAGCTGGGCCTTTGGTGCAGAACGCTCTTAGAAGCGGCAACCTGAATTCTATTTGTTTCATGAAATTGCAATCATTTATTCCAAACAAGCGCCTCTCTTCATTTCATACCATTTCTCTTGACTCGACTACAAAGTGCTTTCAGTGAGTATGTGGATGTTGGATTTTTTTATTTTTTTTGGTCCAATCAGATTTTGGCCTCTATGTGTTGCCATGTCATTCTAATCTGCCCAGGGCCTTCACAATCAGGTGCATTGGCTGAATTAATTTAAATTATTAGCAACGTGACTGTTTATTTAACCAATTGCTTTTAACATTTTCATCAGAAGGCCCTACAATAACAATTTTTTTCCCCACCCTATGGTTGGTCATAGCAAGCCAAGTTCAACGAGCAAAACACTACTGTTTTCAAGACATTCCTTGTTATACAGTTGCCGTGCCTCATGTTGTCGCTGCCGGCCGTGTACTTGGACACGGAAGTGACGTTTGATGTTTGTCTTCTGCTCACGCGATAATTTTGCATGTTGGACGCAGGTTCAAGTACCCCAACTTAAGTGTGTCAATTGACCCGAAAAATAGGTGTAGCGGTAATGATGGAACAGTTTTACGACGAGCTTTAAGTAAACGATCGATTGAACATTCCTGCACATTATATTGTAGGGGCAAGAAGTACTGTACTTCGTTTGTAGCAGCATAATTGGCTGAGAGGTTCAGTGGTTTGGTGACAGGTGAAAAGGTTTTGCTGCCAAGGTTGGTATGTTGTCTGAGGTATTCGAGACATTTTTTGCGGTAGTACCAGGTTCGTGAGTAATGTCCGGTGAAAGCGTCTTTTCTGTTGCATCATGCATAAAACATGATTGAAAGAAGCCCTCCAACCACTCATCGGAAGAATTACAAGATCGTAATACCTTTTTTTGTAATATGGTGTATGTTCTAATGCCATATTTAAGTGTGTGAAAATGGGATGGACAGGTACCATCCACAGTCTGCTGTAATTGTCCAGCTTCAATTCTCATTGTCACATAACTTGCAAGAACATAGACATAAACTTCCCATTTTCAACTTGAGTATAAAGGGGAGTAGCTTCTTATGCGTTATTCTGACTTCTTAATTTATTGCAGGTCTGTTTGAGTAAGCCTGTGTGTCATTGTTGTGCCTCGAGGCCAGAGTGACATCATAGCAGCAGTTGGACCTGACCAAAATGCAACGATGTCATCCGCTCCCCTCTCTGCAGCGCCATGTGTTGTGGAGCATCCAACCACACTAATGTTGAGAGACTAGGTCAGCTAAACTGCAGGAACACACGCAGGCTGCACGTTTTGTCCTCAGGAGGTCAGAGCTAGCTTGCTAGTTTATGCCAAGGGAAAATTAGCCTCATTATAGACTCAGGCCCACAGACAGTGATTTCATCTCTTGGGCTGAGTTACAAGGCTTGACTGAAGTGGTTTCACATCGCATTTTGTGAGGCAAAATTTGCAAGGAAAAGGCGTCTCTGGGCACGGCCGTCGCTCCCATCATCTACCGCGGATCGTCTGAAGTCGAGGCAAGCTTGGTGTTACTTATGCCTTACCAGCTAGCTAGAAACGAGCTTCGGCTAGCTACTATTACGGCTAAATCTGCTGTGGGGTTGCTCCTAAGTCAGTCATCATCACCCGCACCACCGTTTGAACAAATCCACTCTCCCTCAATTCATCCCGTTCGCCTTTTCGACTCACAGTGTGTGCCTTCATGTGGATCCAGCATCCCTTTATCTCTTTGCTCCATGCAGTTCACCTACAGGCACACTTGCAGAGACCCCCACCTCTCACTCTTGCAACATGGGGGTTAGTTTGACACACTCCATCTTGCAACCTTTCTTTGGTCCTTGGTCCAAAAAGCATGTCTGATGATGGCATGTGTGCATGGATTAGGATTAAATCCCCGCCACGCACGGCAGGGAGGAGGAGGACTGGATATTAGGGCAGCAAAAACACCCTGAGGGGTTGAACAGCCAAGTTTAGCATCCATTGTCTTCACATTTCAGCAGTTTGGATCCAAATTGTCACTCTGGTTCACATAGTCGTTCCTTTTATTTCTTTATGTGGCGTTACTGAGGTTGCTCTATTTCGGCCAGATTTCAACTATTAAAGTGGAAACTAGGACCCGTAAAATGGATGTTTTTGAGGCTCAGGCCGATTCAGATATTTGGGAGAGTAAAATTCCGATCAGTAATAAATCTAAAAAGTATGTAATTAATAAAATAGCTTATTTTTTGGTCCCTTCGTGCTTATAGTAATAAACATATGGCCATATTTTTTGGACTATAAATCACACATTTTTTCATATTTTGGCTGGTCTGGTGACTTTTCCTTGGGTGCGACATGTAGTTGGTGTTTAAATTAGAGCTCAGACTAGCACCCAAAATCCCAGTTGCCTTTTGACAGTTGGCAAATACGATTGGTGCGTTATCGCCGGTGGCCAACGTGGCGGTAATGCATGAAAATTATTTGCCAACTGCTAAAAAAAGTAGAAAATGAAATGGAAGTAGAAGTAATAGGACTCACTGCAAGTAATGTGTGGCCTTTCGCAAGTTTAGCATGCCGCTTCTGCCGCAACAATAATTTACAGCAGTGAAAAGTGCAACAACTGCAAAAACTAAATTTTATTTTACAGTGTGACGCGGGATTCTAGTTAAGGTAAGCCATTTTAAAATAAAAAAGAAAAGCTTTACGGTACTCGTTCACTGCCGTAAGTACGGGACCAACACCACACTGTTTTGACTGTTATACAATATGTTCTTAAATATTTGTGAAGCTTTACACCAAATAAAAAACAATCTGTATTTTTGTGGTGGGGTCGTGGTTGAATGATATATAGATCGATAAATCAGTCAGGACCTTGTGGAAAATTCAAGAGATGTCAAACTTCTTCCTCATCTGTACTCTTCATTTTTACCGGCAAACAGTAAACTCTTTAATCAAACAATCTGTTGTGATCACTAATTGTTCCAGTGTATATTCCTTTTCTTCTCGAGACTGGTCCCTTTTTCATTTTTTTTTCATCTTTTTTCTTTGAAGAACTTTGATAAGTTGTGCTATTTGTCCAGTCAATCAATGTTGCACAAACTCAACTCAGTGCGCTTATGTCCCCAGGGGTCCACTCAATTAAGATCATAGACTTTAGTGAGGGGTTTCAAATATATCAACACATGAGAGTTCTGCTTGACTGTATCCCCCCCCCCCCACCCCAAATATACACCAGAGCAGCAGTCTGATAAATATCAAATTGATCTGGCATATCTCTACCACTGCTGCCGAATCATTCGCCTGACATGAATTTCCCGTAGTCCACCGTCTGAGTGCTTACACCACTTTCCATTTATTTTTAGCTCTCTGCAGCCACGCTCACACCCACAAATTTCCCAGGATTCCTTCAAATGTTCATACTTTTCTTATCAGCCCTTCATTTGCTTTAGCTCTCAGGCATTTGTTTTTCCTCCTCATTTTCCCTTCACGCTCATTTCTCGCTCTCCCACATGCACTGTTTGATCTTGGGAAAATGCTGTAGCTTCATGTGCTTCTTCATTTTTAATACCTATAGAAACACCGTCATTTATAGATCTGACACATTGGGCGCCGAAGATCTAAATCCATATCATTTGTTGGCAAAAAGCTGGTCTGTACTGGCATATCAAACAGAATGCGAAAGAAAAACTAATTAGAAAACCACAGAATTCAACCCAATTGCATGTGAATTCAAACAAATAGGCTGATATGTATTGCATAACAGAATCTGTCTTTGTTCACCACAAATAATAAAATGGTGAAGATGAAAAAAAAATAAAAAATACTAGTCGCAATATATATATATTGTTTAAATTTATTAACCTTTTCAGGGACAGCGGTTTCTCCAGTGGACATCTTTTCGTGTTATCAGGTTACAGGGTGCATGAAAGGGTTAACTACAAAAAAAAAATTACAGCATTTAACTGGAGAGGTATTCTTAGAACAGGTTTACGGCTACTCGTAGACCACGTTGATGACCTGCCTTAAGGCTTTTAATTTTGTAAAATCTCCTGTAGCTCTACAACAATTCCACCCGCATTCCTCTTATCCCTCTGCTCTGTTTTTGATCTTGGTAAGAGTTCACGCTGCACT